TATATTTACCAACAGATGTTCTGTGTGCATTGAACATTCTTTACTTTTGACACCCTGTAGTTAAATTCAGACCTTTATTCATGTACATTTAATAAAATACAAAGTAAATGTGTTGTAGCTAAAAGTGATTGTAACATTTGGGGTTTTTCCTGCACAGAGCAAAGCACAACACACAATAATTCAAAACATGAAGATAATTACAATATTTTAGACTTCTAGACTATTAAAGTCAACCTGCATGCTATATTTTCTTTTACATTAATGTATTTCTATTATATTAATATTTCCTTTCCTAAATAAACTTAGTATTGTATTATAAAGTATCACCATAGAAGAAACTGATACAAACTGATACATTTCAATCCTTGTGTATAGCAAGGTAACAAAACAACAAACACAACATACAATAGGATACAACTACAAACCACAAACATTGTGTATTTGTAAACATCACACAGTAATGACAACGGTTTGCATTCGAATTGGTGGAACTGAAAGAACTTGTTGTCAATTGAAGTATAATTTGTATCTTATTTTTGCATACAAGTGGCAAAGTCAGTTACCTGTCTGGAACAGATGGCTGTACAAAATTTCATATGGAGGGGAGGAGGGGGGGGTGCGTTCTCCCCAGAGGGGCTATTGTCAATCCTAAAATTGTTAGTACTGGGAGGGGCCAGGCTCAGAGGTGCTGTATAAATAGGAGCAGCTAAGCCTCAGCTCTCACACTACCTCCTCCTACCACTGAGAGAGCATTGCCTGTCTCTGAGCCATGGCACCCAGCATGATCATTCCTGAACCAACCGCCCACAGCTACCAGCCCAAGCCTGGCAAGAAAAGCAAAGAAGCCAGCGAGCTGAGGAAGGTGAGTGCTCACGAACAAGCTGGACCAGCTCCAGTGCTTGCAAAACTGTGAATGTTAAGACTCCATCATGAGCAATGAAACATGATTTTAACCAAATATTGCATTTCATTTTCAGACCCTCAAACCTTTGATGGAAAAGCGAAGGAGAGCTAGAATAAACGAAAGCCTGAACCAGCTGAAAACACTGATCTTGCCTCTTATTGGAAAAGATGTAAGTGTATTTTCTTATTATTTTAAGTTAAATATATTCTTCACAATATTATATAAATGCAGTATGAATATATTTAGTTTTATGTAGGCTGTTGCATAAAAGATACAAAAAAGAGATTTAAAGATCAAATTAAAAGATTTTAAAAAAAGGCTTAAAAGTTGCAATATTACATATTTTACCAGGATGATATAGAAGACCATTAAATGCAAATATTACAAATATTTGACTTAATATGGGGATGTAGGTGTCCTCTATGCAAAAAAGCCTCAATAAAAATTGAACTTGATATACACAATACATTTGACTTACCAAAGCTAGAAAAATGTATTTAATAGATGGAAAGGTGGACACTTTTATTTTATGGTGTGCCTGTATTTGTGGGGTTCTAAAAGGACATTTTTTGTAAATATTTATAAATACTGAATTTGAACCAAAGCTAGAACATTGTATCTAATAGATAAAAGGGGGCGCTTTTATTTTATGGTGTGCCTGTATTTCTGGGGTTCTAAAAGGGTTTTTTTTTGGTAAATATTTATAATGACTGAATTTGTTTTTAACCACATTGTTATGTTTTTGTATTTGCAGAATTCCAGATATTCCAAGCTAGAAAAAGCTGACATTTTGGAGATGACTGTACGCTTCCTGAAGGACATCCCTCCTGCCTTCCTAACCAAATATTTGTAGCATTTTGCTATTTAGTATTTTAGGCAGTAATTAGACCTACGGCTTTACTGCTGTTTTAGAACTACAAGCCATGAGATTATTTTATATGATGACCAAGCTTTAGGTTAGCTACTGCTGATCCTATGGGGTGTGTTAAAACAATAAGGTGTGCTTTTTGTCTATGGTGGGAAAGTATCCAGAGTTAGATGTCACTAGAAAAGAAAAGGAAATTGTAGCACAGTTTTACAACAAATAGGTAGTTTGGGATGTCCATGCTTTGGTGGTTGGCTCACATTGTAACCATGTTCTTTTTTTTTTTTTCCTGTTCAGACTCTACAGAGAAATACAGAGAAGGGTACAGAGCTTGCCTAGATCGTCTTAGCGGCATCCTTGGCAAAACCAATGTAATTGCTGAAGAAACCAGAAACCTTCTCCTGGACCACCTGCAGAAAAGTCCTGAACTCTGCTGCTTGGACTGCACAAAATCCCCAAACCCCAAGCAGAACAGTTCCAGAATCATCCTCCATCTCAGCCCCAGAAGATCAGACTTCTGCTCTTCCCCCAGCCAGCCACCTGCACAAAGGCCTGCCCCCAGCCCACCACAGTTTAACAGCGCCATCTGGAGGCCATGGTGAAACCACAAAACAGAGACTTAAAAAAAAATCAAAACAAAACACACCAAACAAAAGCTACATTGTAATTTATTGCACAGTTTTGTAAATAATGTCACAATACACATCCACTTGTTGCATGGAATTATCCTGGGCAATACACTGTGGACAATTTAGTCCTCATATGGGGATTGAAAATAAGGGGGTACAATTTGGACCCTGGTAAACCCAAAGGGTTGTATAATTGGTATGCGATATGCATTGAGTCATATTTAACCGGTTGGCTGCAGAAGAGTCCTCTTCTTGAGGAAGAACAAAGCCACTCTGGCAGCCAGCAGGTTAAAATGACAGGGCTACGTGCAACAAGCATTTGTAAATATGTTTACAACGCACTTTTTGTTACTTTTTTGTTACACAGATGATATATATATTTTTTAAAATAAATACAAAATGAACACATTCCACATTGTGTGTTTTTTTATTAATTCATATGCAATATGGGTCACATATATGACTGCAGTCTCCCTATAAAACTGCAGGATCTTGATGCCAATGTCCTATCGCTACATATATATCTCTAGTAGATAGATATCTCTAGTCAGAAGGGTATATTTTACAGAAACTAAAGATTTTATTATGTAAATGATATGGAATATTTAATTTGGTATAAAGATGCCAACATTTTTTTAATTTAATTTCCAGACACAATTTGCTGATGGCTCCCCTTCCAAGTACAATGCTGTCTCAGAGCCTCACTACTGTCCTATATAAATTGCATTGTTTAGTTCATAGGGTATTCTTTCCCTCCAAAAACATATTTTAAAATAAAAGGGACCATCCAACCAAAATGTGTTAGCCTCTGCCTTCTTTGTCCTGGATTCTCCAAAAGCTGTCATAATACTCCATGTCCCTGCCATATGTCCTGATTCTGTTCTGCCCATTTGGGGAGTTTTGGGTGTTCCCTTCCACCTTTGTGTGTTCCATCCCCTTCTGTTCTGTTATATTTCCCTAATGTAAAATAAATACAAATCTATCAAAGACAGGGGGAGCCCATCATTAATAACACAGCAGGTGGGCAGACCGTGGTGTTCTGTTTAGAGATCTGTTCCCCTTAATGTAAAATAAATATAAACCCATCTGGGATAGGGGGAGCCCATCATTAATAAAACAGCAGGTGTGCAGATTCGGGTGTTCCTTTTGGAGATCTGTTCCCTTAATGTAAAATAAATACAAATCCATCAGGGATAGGGGGAGCCCATCATTAATGACACAGCAGGTGTGCAGTTTCGGGTGTTCCTTTTGGAGATCTGTTCCCTTAATGTAAAATAAATACAAATCCATCAGGGATAGGGGGAGCCCATCATTAATGACACAGCAGGTGTGCAGATTCGGGTGTTCCTTTTGGAGATCTGTTCCCCTTAATGTAAAATAAATACAAACCCATCAGGGATAGGGGGAGCCTATCATAAATAACACAGCAGGTGTGCAGACCCGGGTGTTCCGTTTAGAGGAAATGGTCAGCTCTTCAGCCTCTACCAAAAAACTGAAATATCACTATAGGTTGGACAGATCATTTAGCAATGTGCTACAAAGCTTAGAGAATAAGTAGAAATAAGGATTTAGTCTTACACAAAGAAAGGAAAGTGTATGAATGTTCAGTTCTGATAAACAAGGATGCTAATTTCCTGAGAAATAGGAACATAGAAACAAGGGAGTATCCCTTATAATCAGAGACATAGGCACCCATGAGGTGTGCATTATATATACTATGCGTGTGGAAGGGGAGGAAATATAATACAACAAACAAAAAATACAACAACCTTTATGTATTGATAACAGAAGGACATCGGGGTGTTTGTGGTGGGATGTGCGGCCCTCCTCTACACAGAAGGGAAACCCATTATCCCAGACATATTACAATGACAAAGTATCATTCCCCATAGGCATCACTATAAAGTTTATACACAGAAATAGGAGGTCATTTTATTGACAATGTGCATGTAGAAGGTCCACAGTGCTGAATTAATATAGTGATGGATATTACACATTACAGGGGGTACATGTTGCAATGAAGACACCCGATCTGGTGACAACTAAGAGGGCATTTCACCACTTTGGAGATATCTCTTCTGACTTGCTGTTCCTCATGGAAAGAAAGTTTAGGTAAGAAAATAATCCCTGCGGACACAGAGAGAAAAATAAATACATACGGTAAATAAAATAAAATAAAGTTAGGGGCCCTAAGTACTTCCTACTCTATCAAAAATAATTTGCCTACAATCTATCTATCTATCTATCTATCTATCTATCTATCTATCTATCTATCTATCTATCTATCTATCTATCTATCTATCCATCTATCTATCCATCTATATATCTATCCCTCTATATTTATAATTGATAGGGCAAACCTCAGCATAAGTATTGGAACAAGGTCCTTCAGCACCCAAGGTGAAAAGGTCAAAGTGCAATTCCCTCCCACCCAAGAGCTGTGACCTACATGAGCAGCATAGGTTGCTGCCCTTTACGTGCCCCCTCCTGCTAAAGTGCCCAAGGCAGCCGCCTTTTCTGTTTACCCCTCTACCTTGCACTGGTCAGCATTCCCTAATCTTTTCTTTTTTTTGCAAAAGAGAACCTATTTCTTGCTATAAATAAAAAGGATTCCTGAGCCCCCTCATGTGAACTAAAGCCTGTACAGCCTCAATCAAATGGCCCCTGACTGCCATGTACTGAAGCTGTTTCATGTCATTAGAGACTGCTGAGAATCTATTTTCTTTTTTAAGCATATGGGTAGATGCTCTTTAGTTTTGGGTAGGGAAGGTTTACAATCATTGTCAGGTTTATATTTTGGTCCCGGTGACCATAGTCACTGGGAGAAAAAGTGACTAGGAATTTACATTTTTACAGTTGTCAGCAGAATGGGAGGCAAGGCAAAATCTTCTAGAGGTCACAACAGTTCTTCTGGAAGTTGGCTAAGTCTGCAGAGATTTTCTTTTGACTCTCTGTTGCTTCCCCATGACAGGAAGTGAGGGGAAATCCCCCCAACTAGACACAGACAGTTAAAAAAAACTGATGTGGTTTTAGCCCTCCCAAGGTTTGGCTTTAGGTGTACTTTAAGGTGATCCTTTTTTCAGATAGATCTATTGATCAGGCATGTGAAGTAAACATTGACCAGTGTCACCTGTTCTCTTGTAGTAAACCAGTTTATAAGTATCACCAACTATCACTTGTTTAATTTTTACTCTGAAGACTATGATGTGTAGTTATCAATCTATACATTTCACAAGCTCCATTTATATTTCCATTTATTCATCTGACGAAGGGCTGAGGTCCGAGGCCTTTGGAGACAATGCCATATCTCATTACCATAATGAAGGGTGTTATTACTCATACTATAGCTGTGATCACATACATCCTAATTATAGTCTTGCCCTCCTCTCCTCGTACACAATACCCTCACAACCATTTCATAGCTGGGAGCTATGCACTGTGATCCCCCCACCCGTAATAGAAAATGCCCTGTGGTATAGGTGGGAGGTTATCAGGCCGGCTAATCAATGTCACAGGATAGATTTATAGTGTTCGGAATTGTTGTATGTTGTCTATTGATGTTAGTCCAGTACAGAAAGGACCTGTATTTACTAAGATTGTAAGTTCACTCATCCACTGTCCATCCTCAACAAAGCAGCAGGGGTGCTATAAGGTGACTACTGACATTACAGAATGTTTGCCCAGCTTGGCTATTAATGTTTGGATTATGGATTGTTCATGTGTGTAGGTCCCATTGTGATCCTGGCACCACTCCCTACTCCAGGAAGAGTCAATTGGCCAGGGTGGAGATTCCCAGTTGATCAAATTTTTTTTCCCATGTCAGACAAGGGCCTGAAGCACACCCTTCCCCCATCCTTTATTTGCCCAAGGTGAATTTGCATGTTTGTACAATAATGTTACATTAGAAAGATTGGAAGCCTAAAAATGCAATCAGAGGGCAAAGGAGTTGTCATTGGCTGTGGGCTCCCCACAGCTGTTCCTTTCCCTATTACTGAATACAATGCCTTGTTCTGCACTTCAACTCTATGTGGAGGCAGATATATTTTGGTAGAGGTGCAGGGCTTTGCATCATGATATCAGGGCCGCCCGCAGATGACTGGTGACCTGATGACTGGTGGGATAGTGAACAAAAAGCAGGAGGAGAGATCCACAGAAAACATGAAACGGAAGCAGGGAGATCCTTGCACTGCAGGTCCTCGGGTACAGCTTCCTCTCCAGCAAGGAGAACAAAGATCAGAACAATAGTGACATCAGCAAATCTCACTCCAAATCTCCTGAGACTTGCAGTCAGAGGCCTCAGTACCTTAGATGATCTCACTCAGCAGATGTATAGCTATGAGGCTGAAAGAACCACACTTACATTGCTATTTTGCAGGAGGAATGAAGACAAAAGCTAAATTGTTTATGGGGTACTGCTTGGACACAGTTATACAATTTCTATATGTTTCCTTTAAGATAGCAAATCCTCACTTATTATGATCCAATCTGCTTTAAAGTGACACTAAACTAAGGAGTAAAATCTTAAAAATACATTCAAGAACCTTAACTATTAACAACAATGTATCTTATTTGTGTATCACTCGGCTGTAGATCCTCCAATCATCTCTGAATTGGTGCTGACACTGTCCTTCCTTCTGGAGGGGGGCTACTTTTGTTCCCCATGGTCTCTGTGTGTGTTTTAAAGTAGTCACCTCTCCAAGCTCACTCCCGTGATAGACTACAGTCTCACGTTTAGTTTACTCATTTGTATTGGGATTGCAGTCCCCCATCTGCGCTGTTTAGTATGGATGAGAGAACCAAGCTTTTTTTCTGGCCTGAACAGGACAAAACAGTCGTTTATGGCCAGCCTTAGGCTTAGCTATAAGTTGATGAGTGATCATATGACCAGTTTTACTCCTTTTCTTTTGTGTACATTGCAACTGCTGCAGATTGGAAGTAATGTTGGTATATATTTAGGGGGTTACAATTTCACTGCATTACTCCTTTTTAAAGCTAAACTGTAGGCAAAACAAA